GATCGGAATGTAAACTGACCTTTTCCAATCCTGCAGCCACTGTTGAGTTTTCCAGATTTGCTGGCATATTGAGTGTAGCACTTTTACTGCATCGTCTTTTAAGATTTTGAATAGCTCAGCTGGAATACTGTCACCTCCACTAGCTTTGTTGTTGCTCAGACTTCCTAAGGCCCATTTGACTTCACATTCCAGAATGTCTGGCTCAAGGTTGGTGACCAACCCATCGTGGTTATCAGGGACGTTAAGCTCTTTCTTGTATAGTTCCTCTGTGTAATCTTGCCACCTCTTCTTAATCTCTTCTGCCTCTGTTCAGTTCCTGCCATTTTGGTCCTTTACCATGCCCATCTTTGCATGAAACGTTCCCTTCATATCTCCAATTTTCTTGAAGAGATCTCTGGTCCTCCCTATTCTATTGGTTTCTTCTATTTCTTTGCACTGTTCATTTAAGAAGGCATTCTTATCTCTTCTAGCTATTCTCTGCAATTCTGCATTCAGTTGCGTGTATCTTTCTCCCTTGCTTTTTGCTTCCCTCCTTTCCTCAGCTACTTGTAAAGCTTCCTCAGACAGCCATTTTGCTTTCTTGCATTTCTTTTTCTTTGGGATGGTTTTAGTTGCTGCCTCTTGTACAATGTTGCGAACCTCCGTCCATAGTTCTTCAGGCACTCTGTCTATCAGATCTAATTCCCTAAATCTATTTGTCACCTCTACTGTATATTCATCAGGGATATGATTTAGGTCATACCTGAGTGGCCTAGTGCTTTTACCTACTTTCTTCAATTTAAGCCTAAATTTTGCAACAAGAAGCTCATGATCTGAGCCACAGTCAGATCCTGGTCTAGTTTTTACTGACTGGATAGAGCTTCTCCATCTTTGGCTGCAGAGCACATAGTCAATCTGATTTCTGTGTTGACCATCTGATGATGTCCATGTGTAAAGTTGTCTCTTGGGTTGTTGGAAAAGAGTGTTTGCTATGACCATCGTATTCTCTTGACAAAATTCTACCAGCCTGTGCCCTGCTTCATTTTGTACTCCAAGGCCAAACTTGCTTGTTATTCCAGTTATCTTTTGGCTTCCTACTTTAGCATTCCAATCCCCCAAGATGATAAGGACATCATGTTTTGGTGTTAATTCTAGAAGGTGTTGTAGGCCTTCATAGAACTGGTCAATTTCAGCCTCTTCAGCACCAGTGGTTGGGGGACAGACATGGACTATTGTGATGTTGAATGGTTTGCCTTGGATTCGAACTGAGATCATTCTGTCATTTTGGAGATTGTATCCCAGTACTGCTTTTCTTACTCTTTTATTGACTATGAAGGCTACTCCATTTCTTCTGAGGGATTCTTGCCCGCAGTAGTATACCTGATGGTCATCTGAATTAAATTCACCCATTCCTGTCCATTTTAGTTCACTGATTCCTAAGATGTCGATGTTCAGTCTTGTCATCTCTCGTTTGACCATATCCAGCTTGCCTTGATTCATGGATCTTACATTCCAGGTTCCTATGGAGTATAGATCTTTGCAGCATCGGACTCTCCTTTCACCATCAGATACATCTGTAACTGAGTATTCTTTTGGCTTTGACCCAGTCGCTTTATTCTTTGTGGTGCTACTAGTACTAGCCCTCTGCTCTTCCCCAGTAGCATACTGGACACCTTCCGACCTGAGTGGCTCATCTTCCCGCGTCATATCTTTTTGCCTTTTGGTACTGTCCATGGGGTTTTCATGGCAAAGATACAGGAGTGGGTTGCCATTTCCTTCTCCAGTGGAACACGTTTTGTCAGAGCGCTCTGCTATGACCTGTCTGTCTTGGGTGGCCCTGCACAGCATAGCTCATTGCTTTATTGAGCTATGCAAGCCCCTTCGCCACGACAAGGCAGTGATCCATTGAAGGAGGTCATTAGCATAAGAGAGGACTATTCTCCAAAATATACAGTCAGATCTGGCACAGACGTCGAGCCTGTAGTGCCTAATGAAGGTGGAAGGGGTTGACCAGGTAGCCACCTTGCATAGGACAGGTAATGGTATCCCAGCATGGAGGGCTGTTGATGTCACCATCACTCTGCTGGAATGTACCATAGGGTGGGTTGGTAGCTGTAAACCAGGTCAAAGGATAGGGAGATAATTTGCTTGACTTAAGATGCAAGGAGTTTGGGAAGACACCAGCTGTCCTGTATTACTGTCTCCATGGCAGATAAAAAGCTGCTGTCTAAAAGATTTGGCCCTGGAGCAGTAGAACATCTGTGCACTATGCATATCCAGGGTATGCAGCATCTATTCCACTGGGTTGGAGAGGGAAGGGGAAAAAAGGTAAAATAATGTCATGGTTTATGCGAAAAGAGGAGACCACCTTTGAAGGAAGGAGGAGTCAGGATGCACCACCACCTTATCCTTGTGAAAGGCAAGGTATGGAGGATCCACCTGTAAAGCACATAGTTCAATGGAACAGTGAGCAGAGGTAATAACAACAAGGAAAGCCACCTTGTGCAACAGTATATGGAGATCTACAGTCACTAATGCTTGCAGAACCACAGATAGGCTCCAGTTCAGTGTAAGGGATTATACAGGCAGGCAGTCCTCACAGAAACATTTTGCCAGTGTCTGGGAGGAAACTGACAACCCCTGGGCAGGGTCATGGAAGGAGGTGATTACCACCAAATAAATTTAGATGGAAGGCATTTTAAGTTTCCTTCAGAAAAGTGCATTTAAAAAGAAGAACTTGTTTTACTGTATAATGGCAGGCATCAAAAATCTTTGTAGATGCAGAGGTGGTGAAGGCTTTCCATTTTGTTGCAGAAGATTTTCTTGTGGAAGGCTTGAGAGCTGCATTGAAAATAAACTGTAGTTCATTTGGGATAGTAGAACTAGATTGGTCTAGGGTGGGATCCTCCATACTCTTAGGTGTAGTGTGTTGGCATCCAGATGGAGACCCCTGCCATGATCACAAGAGATGAGGTTTGAGTTTGACAGGAGCTTGAAGTAGGTCCAAGCTGAGATCCTTAGGAGGCAAGTGAACAATTGTTTTCTTGGCCACCATGGTGTCATAAGGATGCTGTCAGCAGCATCCCAACAAAGCTTCACCAGTAGTCTCATTGTCAAAAGGAAGCAGGGGAAAGGCAGAAAGTCCCCATCCAATTCAGCAGGAATGCATCTCCAGAGAGCCCGTCCTGTCCTGCCTAAGAGCAGAAGTTGTTGCATACAGCATTGTCTCAAGTGACGAACAAATCTATGTAGGGTGTTCCCCAGGTATTGAAGACCTGTTGTAGGGGGACTGAGTTCAGCTGCCACTCATGAGTGTTGTGAGTTCTCCTCCCAAACCTGTTGGTGAGTATATTGCTGGATCCAGTGACATGGATGGCTGTCAAAGTTACACTCCTCCCGATGCATGAATCCCAAACCTGGACAGCGAAGAAAGTCAATGGGATGGAGCAAGTGCACCCTGCTTATTCTCACAGAAGACTACTGTGGTATTGTCTGTGGTAATCTGGATATGGTAGCCAGTGAGGAACATCTGGAATGCCACTAGAACTTTCTTCACCACAAGCATTTCTAGATAGTTGATATGCTTGTAGGCTTCAAAGATGCTTCAGGTTCCTTGAGTGGTCATTGTACCACCGTGGGCTCTCCAAGCAAGGAAGCACACTTTGGTCATCACAGTGAATGATGGTTTGGGGAAAAGGAAAGGAATTTCCTTTAGGAGGTTCTCGTGGTGCACCCACTAGTACATGTTGGAAATGCAATCTGCCATCCTTCCTGATCTGCCACCTCAACAAGGGATTCACCACCCTTGTCAGAGAGCTGGGCCCAGGTTTCCATGCCATTTAAAATATGGGAGTACAGGTTCTTTATATTTATGTTTGAACATAACATAAATGTTCTATGATCTGTTAGAAATGTCAAGTTATGCTCTACGTGGTGCTTTAATAATCTTCACATTTATATCCCACTCTTTTTCCACTGAACTCAGGATTGCACATACATGGGTGTGAGCTAACACACACACAAACTTTATGCTCATTAAAACCTTGAGAGGTAGGTCAGGTCTAGACAGTGAGCAGCCCATGCTCAGGCAATGAGCTTCATCAGAGATCTGAACCTAGGTCTCTTCAATCAGACTCCAACATAGTAACCACTACATTGTCCTTTGCTGGATCAAGTGCTCTGAGTATTACCTGATTTTAATGAACTGGGCATTGGTTACTGCTGTTCTCTTGTGTGCGCATATGTGTATACATATAAATAACATACAGTAGGATCAACATAGATGTCTCAATTTTTGGACCCTGTGAGGTAGGTTAGACTGAAGGTCAGCCCAAGGTCCTCCAGTGTGCTATGTGGCTAATTGGGGACTAGAACCGAGGTCTTCTAAGTACCAGTCCAACTCTCTAACACTATGCCACACTGGTTTTTAATACAGAATTCCACACTGAGCTACAGAATTCCACATTTTCAAACTCCAAAGGAACTTAAACTCAGTCTTTAAAGTTCACATTTCTTAGAATTTTGCAAAACACACATTAGGAAAAATAATATGAGCATGCTTTATGTTAGAAAGATTGCTTGCAAATGTGTATATGAAGAAAAATGCACACAAAATTATATTAGAAACGTGCACAAAAATGCTTATGAATTTTCATGCAAACTTTTTTTTAAAAAATCACAACATTCAGGATGAACCAAACTTAAGATTGGTGAATTTCTCAAATTTCAAAACAAAATGAACTTATGTTTGGAAAAATAAGAAAATGAGACACTGAAACTGACAGATATGTCCACTTTGAGTCTAGTGAGATGGAAAGGGTAATTTTAAATTAATATTCAACCAATAGGCCTCTCAGTGCCTTAAATACAGTCTTTTAGAGATGAACCTTAAGGATCTGTAAATTCCTTATCTACATATCTTCCACAGGGTTTTTAATTCTTTTTATTTTATTGTTCTGCTTGTATAATTAGTGAGGAGAAGAAAATCAATATTCAGAACTGAAGGAAACGCTCACACTAACCTGAGCATCCAATGCTTTCTGAATCACTTTTGGATGTTTTGGGTTGGCTCTGCTTGCTACTTGTCCGCATGGAAATTGATGGAGTGAGAGGAGGTGGGGTCACAGTGCTACTGCTCTCTCCTCTAATAGTGGTGAGGTCTTGCATGCTAAAGCTCCGGAGTCTCTCTGATAAAGCTCCTTGCCCCTGTGGGAAACAAAGGCGCATAACATCTTTTAAGCAATCAATTGATTATGCTTATTATTAATAATAATATTTTTATTAGAAACATTTCTATCCCGTCCTTTACTGGGGTGTCAGGACAGTGGTACAAGAATAAAGCACAGCATTAAGAACAAATAACACATTTTATTCATTAAGAGGACATTCACCTAACAAAAGAGACCTGAACTTGGTACCGAGAGAGAGACCATTGCTATTTCTTCTTCTCTCCCTCTCTCGCTCTCTCTCTCTCTCACACACAATTATATGCTCCTAGAAGACTCATCAGATATCCTCTATTGCAGGATAAGCAATCATCCCTTCCCCACATCCCATCTTCCCCTGTGCCAGCTTAATCAGAACAGAGGGAATGGACTGTGCTATCGGCACAATTGTAATGCTTCTGGGATTCATCCTTGCCTGCCAGGTGACACAGGTGTGACCAGCAGAGAATCCCACTGCATCATTATTCCCACACATGGGATGATATAATTGTTTATATATTGGATGAAGAGGGCCACAGAAAGCTATACTGCATTGGCTTACCGAGTTCACAACTGTCTCCACAGACTGTCAGCTGGTCTCCAAGGTCTTCCCCAACCCTACTCAAAGAGCCTGCTAACTGAAATGGTAACTTTCTCTGCCACTTCCACATGTGGTGCAAACTGGGTTCTTTCAAGATACACTTCAGGCCATCCTCTGGCACACTAGATCACCCCCACATATCATTATGAATCACTGGCCTAAATATGCTTCAGCACACTTTACAAATAATGATGTCACAGCAGAGTGAAGTATGGGACACACATGGAACACTGCAACTCTTACTAGAACTGATCTGAAAGTTTAACATTTCATAGATGAGTGCAGCAAGTCTTCAGTCTGACTGCTATAAACATCTCAGTAGAGTACTAAAAGAGTAAACTCAAACATCAAAAACACAGTTCCAAGTTTCCCTTTTCTCACTTATTTAATCTTCAGAGAACTAATGTGCTTCTTATATTTATCTATTTCTTTTTTGTTAATATAATTAAAATAATGGGAAAAAACTGTAAATCAATACTCCTTTTACAAAAATCTATAAAATATCTCCGATTTTCGATATTTTTTCCATCTCTCCTATTTTCTACCATAAACATAATGTGTTAGTTTAGCCATAAAGGCAAAATTCCATGTTATATGTAACTGTCATTTGGGTAGACTGTATTGTTTCCAATTTCGAGGTTCATAGCATACAACATTTTCTTAAACAACGAGGCCAAAGAATTGGGTTCGAGCAGTCAGTGTTCCTATAACTTGCATCATAATCCAATTTCAAAGGAACTAGCATTCCTCTTCGCTGTTGGACTATGCAACAACCATTAGTTATATTCACTATATGGAAGGGAAAATAACTGGCTGAAAAGCCACTATGCTTGTTTAAATAGAAATAAGTCCAGATATGATGGGGAACACTGGAAGTTGTAGGTCTCATCTCTGTCTAAACATGCATAGGATTGTGCTATAAAAGGTACTGGTTTCATTTTTACTGTTGCCTGCTTACTTTGTTTGCTTTAGCTTTAAGAACAAGATTCATCTGTTTCTGAGTGAGTGTGCTAAGGACCACGGAATTTTTCAGATTCTCTCTTCTAAAGCTATAGATGCTACTATGAATTTGGGAGAGAGGGTCCCAAGGTTTGTTCTCTCCTCCATTTCCTCAGCTGCCACAGAAAGCAGCACTTGCTTGCCATGTGGCCTTGGATCACCTTGCAGAAGTTGAAAAATGAATGTTCTAGTGATCAGGAAGTGGAAAGGAGAGGCCAATATATGAACAATTCTATGGCCTTTTCAGCCTCACTCCTGTCTCCCATAGCTTGATCCATTTCTAGACAGGCTCACATGGATTGGTGCTATCCCGCCTCCCATCTTGACTGCAGGGAGACAGGGCTTAAGGTACTCAGGAACTTCCAATATCACAGGCTTCCATTTAGCAGGCAGCAACCCAGTGGGGTTCTGCCCCAAGTTTTCCTGGCAGTGCCCCTCACTACAAGGCTTGAAGCAGTTCCTAATAACCTCAAGTGCAGCTCTTGGCCTCTCTCTGTCATTGCAGCAGCTGCTCACTTTCAGCAATGGCTTTTTGACTTTGCCTCGTTGTTTGCAAATGACTTGGCAGTTTCCAAGTTACCTAGTAAAGAGACTCAAGAGCATGAGAACTGGTCTGTCTTGGAAATGGAGGGAGACATTTCAAAGCTGGGTGTAGAGACTGAGGGGGAGTTTACTGACCCTGCAAGGAGAAGATAGGCAAAGCAAGTGGACCAACTAGGAAATACCGGCATTCTACCATCTGGCCCTCAAGAGGCTGAAGTCACACTGAAGGTGGAGGCAAGGGCCTTCTGAAAGGGGAAATTTCAAGCTTGTATTCAACTCTTCACATGAGCAGATGCTTCTTCCAAATTTCAAGGAAAATGCTATTTTGATTTATACGGTTTTACACCCTATTAAACTCTTATAAAAGGACTGTGATTCTAAAGAGGAAAAGAGGGGAAGAGAACCCTGCTCATGACAGTGGGATAGAAACATAGAAACAGAGTGAGTCAGAAGGGGCCTCCTGGGCCATCTGACCCCCAGCTCTAGCCAGCTCCACTCACAACATGTGCATGTCTAGCCTATCCTTGAACACCCTCACCGATGGGGACTCAACCACCTCCCGGGGAAGCCCATTCCATACCCTTGGGGTCCTAACTGTCAGGAAGTGCTCCCTGGCATCTGAATTGAACCTTGTTCCTTAAGCTTGGCTCTGTTGCATCCTGCCCTCCTCTGCAGGGGAGAACAGGTCTCTACCCACCTCCATGTGACACCCCATCACATACCTATATGTCACCAACAGATCCCCTCTGAATCTCCTATTCTCCAGGCCAAAAAGACCCAGTTCCCTCAGTCTCACCTCATATGGCTTTCCTTGCAATCTGGCCACGATCCTTGTGGCCCTACGCTGCACTGATTCTAACCTGACTATATCCTTCCTGTAACAAGGGGCCCAGAATACTCCAGTTGTGGGTGCACCAGAGTCATACAGAGTGGTAGTAATACCTCTCTCGATCTAGAAGTCACGCTTCTGGCTATGCAACCAAGGGTAGCGTTCGCCCTCTTGACCACCGCATCACACTGCTGACTCATGTTTAGCCTGCAGTCAACCAGTACCCTGAGGTCCCTTTCACAAGTGCTGCTCTCCAGCCACTTGTCCCCTAACCTGTACTTATGACACTCATTCCTATGCCCCAAGTGCAAGACCTTGCACTTATCCACACTGAACACCATCCTGTTATCCCCATCCCTTCCATAGTCTGTCCAGATCCTTTTGGATCTGGAGTACCTGCTCCACAGTTGTGGCCACTGCCCTCATTTTAGTATTGTCTGTGAATCTGATCAGCAGACTTCTTCCATGTTGTTGATGAAAAGATTGAACAGGATCAGCCCCAGGACAGAGCCCTGGGGGACTCTGCTTGTCACTGGCTTCCACTTTGATGATTCCCCACTAATGGTTACCCTCTGCTTTCAGTGTGTCAACCATGCCCTAATCCACTGGACAGTGCACTGGTCTATCTCAAAATTCCTCAATTTCTCAACCATGATGAGAACTTTGTACTTTGTCAAAGGCCTTGCTGAAATCCGGGTAAACCATATCCACTGCGTCCCCTCCATCTAGCCATCTCGAAACCTTGTCATAGAATTCCACAAGGTTTATCTGGCAGGACCTGTTATTGCAGAAGCCATGTTGAGTGGCTGCCAGCCTCCCTTCGCTATCTAACATCACTAGATCTCTCTCTATTATGAGACTTTCACTTGTTTTTCCTACAATGGACAAAAGGCTAACTGGTCAGTAATTCCCATTATCCCTTCTACTACCCTTTTTGAAAGTTGGGACCACTGACACCACCCTCCAGTCCTTTGAAACTTCACCCGTTCTCCATGAGGCCTCAAAAATGAAGGCCAATGAGCATGAGAGTTCCCCTGCCAACTCTCAAAGTACTCTTGGTTGCAACCTGTCAGGGCCCAGCGCCTTTGTAACATCCAGTGTCCTGAAGAGCTCCTTGACTTCTAGGGGGGAGACTCTAATCTGCGTCCCCAAGTCCCCAGCCTCATCTAATCTCCCATGCGGATCTCCCCCGTCCTGCAGAGGCAAAACAGTCATTTAGCATCTGTGTCTGTTCCCTCACATCAGTCACTGGATCCCCTTCCTCCTTATTAAGTGGTCCCACTACCTGTCTCCCTCTTGCTATTTACATGCTGACAGAAGCCCTTTTTGTTGCTCTTGATATACTTGGCAAGTCTCAGCTCGTAATCAGCCTTAGCCTTGCGAAGAATCCTTCTGCAACAGGCCTCCTCCTCCCGGTATATCCTTTTGTCTATTTGCCCCAGTACCCATTTCCTATGGAGGTTCCTCTTGCATCTAATCCCTCTAACCACCTCCTTTCGCATCCATGGCGGCACTCTCCTCCGCCTCCCCGCCTTACTAACTAGAGGTATCGTCAAGGCTTGAGCCTCCAAAACCTCCCTTTTAAGTGCCATCCACCCCTCCTCAACTCCCTTGCCTTCCAGTAACCTATGCCAGGATACTTTCCCCAGTCTGGCCTTCAGTTGGCCAAAGTTGACCCTCAAAGTCCCAGCTTCTAGCGCTCCACATGCTGCACGTCCCCATTCCCCTGAACTCAAAGCAAAGGATGGAGTGATCACTCACATCCAGAGCTCCCCTAATCTGTACCTCATTTATCAGCTACTCCCCGTTGGTCAAAACCAAGTCAAGGATACCCTCCCCCCTGTTGTCTCTCAGACCCTCTGCATGAAAAACCCTTCCTCGATAGCATCTATCTATCTATCTATCTATCTATCTATCTATCTATCTATCTGGAAGACTTCTATGCTGCCCCATTCGCCGAAGCCTCAGGGTGGCTCACAATAATAAATAAATAAATAAGAGCAGTATAAAACAATATAATATGAGTCGA